CTCTCTCTCTGTAACTCTGACTTTCAAATAAATTAATAAATCTTAAAAAAAAAAAAAAAAAAAGAAAAGAAAAGAAGGGGGGGGGGGGGGCAAAGCCAGGAGCCAGAAGCTCAATTACTTGAACCATCACCACCACATCCCAGGGTCCCCATTAGCAGGAAGGTGGAATCAGAAACCAGAGCTGAGAATGGAACCCAGGCACTTCCACATGGGACATAGGTGTCATAACCAATGCCTTAAATTCTAAGGCAAAACCCACCCCTTATAAGAATTTTTAAGAACTGTCTGAACATTATGTAGATAATTCTGTATTATCTTCCTGGTAAGATTTTTTTTTAAATTTTCTTCATTAAAATTTAAAAATTAGGCTGGCACCACGGCTCAATAAGCTAATCCTCCGCCTGCAGCACCGGCACACCGGATTCTAGTCCTGGTCGGAGTGCCAGATTCTGTCCCGGTTGCCCCTCTTCCAGGTCAGCTCTCTGCTGTGGCCCGGGAGTGCAGTGGAGGATGGCCCAAGTGCTTGGGCCCTGCACCCCATGGGAGACCAGGATAAGTACCTGGCTCCTGCCATCAGATCAGTGTGGTGTGCCGGCCGCAGCGCGCTGGCCGCAGCGGTCACTGAAGGGTAAACCAACGGCAAAAGGAAGACCTTCCTCTCTGTCTCTCTCTCTCACTGTCCACTCTGCCTGTCAAAAAAAAAAAAAAAAAAGGGGGCCGGCGCCGTGGCTCAATAGGCTAATCCTCCACCTTGCGGCGCCGGCACACCGGGTTCTAGTCCCGGTCAGGGCGCCGGATTCTGTCCCGGTTGCCCCTCTTCCAGGCCAGCTCTCTGCTATGGCCAGGGAGTGCAGTGGAGGATGGCCCAGGTGCTTGGGCCCTGCACCCCATGGGAGACCAGGAAAAGCACCTGGCTCCTGGCTCCTGCCATCGGATCAGCGCGGTGCGCCGGCTGCAGCGGCGGCCATTGGAGGGTGAACCAACGGCAAAAGGAAGACCTTTCTCTCTCTGTCTCTCTATCTCACTGTCCACTCTGCCTGTCAAAAAAAAAAAAAAAAAAAAAGGATAGTAGGATTACAGGCACAAAATTGATACTGTATTTCCCAAACTTTCTAAGAATAATTCTAATACTTCTCTAATAAAACATAATATTAAACACAGGTAGATGTAGGAAGTGGCTCATTTAAGGCAAAATGTGTCCCACCACGTATCCAAAAATGGATATGAAGCTAGGAGAAAATAAAGGAGAAAGGGGCCACAGTTGTACCAAGTCACCAAAGACTTGGGACCCGGTTACCCGAGATCATGGAAATGACCTGACATGGAGAGATTTGGGGCACAAGCAGTGTGGATCTCCTTAGAATCATCTAAATAATGACTGTCAGGTGCATTCTTGAGCCCTTTGCCTTCAGTGGAGGAGTTGGGTTGGGTTGAAGCAGAGATGTGTCTGAGGTTGAATTATGGCCTTCACACACGCACACACACACACACTTGGCTCCCTATCAGGAGTTTGGGAACAACCAAAGACTGTGAAGGTCGGAGCTGAGATACATTCGAGGTCCTGCACGCTCTGGCCCCTGCCTGCCCCTAAAGCTCCTGGCCACCCCAGCTGCATTCATCTCTGGGAGGCTTGGGATGCTGCTTTAACAAGCTTGCCTCTGGCCTAGGCTGGACCAGGGTTTGAACCCTGACCCTGCTACTTCCAACCTGTGTGGTGTTAAATTGAACTTCTCTTGCGTCTCATTTTCTCTATTTGCAAACAAGAATAAGTCTTTCCAATAAGGTTTCTCAGAAGTTTCAGTGGGATGATATGGGCAAATGGCTCAGTTCAAAATAATGGTTACTCAAGTCTTAGAAGGAAGTCACAGTACTCTGTCTACCCCTCCCTCTCTAATTGTGACTGTAGATGAAACCCCACCCAACTCTTGGAGGACTCAGTTCTCAATCCAAAATTGGCCACATATAACAAAGTAAATCCCCCAGAGCTAGCATTTGGCCCAGTTGTTACGACACCCACATCCCATATTCAAAGTGCCTGGATCTGAATCCTAGCTCTGGCTCCTGCTTCCAGCTTCCTGCCAGTGCTAATCCTGGAAGGTAGTGCATGGTGGCTGAAGTGCCTGGGTCCCAGCCACTCACACGGAGATCTGGACTGAGTTCCTGGCTCCCAGCTTTCACCTTGCACAATTCCGGCCATTGCAGCTTTTGGGGAGTAAACCAGTAGATGTCTTCCAATTTTTTAAAGAAAAAAAAGATAATAGTTACTTATGAAGTAAAATGGACATTTTTCATACATTTCAGTTTGCTTTTACTTTGTTACAAGTTTAATTTTGAAAATAGAAAAAGCTTACCCAGAAATTTACTGAAAATAGCATTTAGTAAATTGGTGCAAAGAATGTTTGTTGTTATTATCAACAACAACATCTCCAATGTCCCATTTCATAATCTCTCCCAAGGTCTCATCAGAGCTTCAGGTACAGTGCTGGGCAGTCAGCTTTGCCCAGTATTACCCTGTAATTTTTTAGGTTTCATTTATTTATTTATTTATTTGAAAGGCAGAGTTACAGAGAGGCAGAGAGAGAGAGAGAGAGAGAGAGGTCTTGCATCCACTGGTTTGCTCCCCAAATGGCTGCAATGGCTGGAGCTGAGCCAATCTGGAGCTGGGAGCTTCTTCCGGGTCTCCCATGTGAGTGCAAGGACCCAAGCACCTGGGCCATCTTCTGCAGGCAGGACCAGGACCACACCTCAGACACATTAATGGGGAGCAGCTGGAACTTGAACTGGCACCCATATAGGACGCTGGCACTGCAGGCAGTGGCTCTACCCACTATGCCACAGAGCTAGCCCCTTAATCACTCTGTATTGACTGATTGCTAAGCTTTCTCCAAGGAGGTAGTCCTCTAGCCCTCAACCACCAAGTACAAGCCTTCACATGGCAATCTCTCAGCTCTGCTGGCTCCGTTACTCTCAGTGGCCTTTGAGTAGTTTGTGCATGTCATTTGTTATTTCACATATGGCTACTGTTCCAGCAAAATAAAGTGTGGGTTTCTTGAGGGCAGCCTTACAGGTCTTTCATGCCCAGGTGGGGGCTTGTTCAGGTGCAGGACTTGGCAAAAAGCAGTTCTCGTGACAAAACTGGGGGCCCCAGGAACTGGCAGGACCAGGACCACACCTCAGACAGGTGTCTGCAACTATTTACTGTAGCTGGTGAAAAGCCAGAGTTCCAGGATCCGTCTCGATACAGATATGGAGGAAAAAACCATTAGGGCTTGGTCATAGCAATGTGAATACAAGAAATTCCAAACCTTCCTCTAGCACTTTTTGACCCCTCACAGGCATCCTGTCAGCAGAGTTGATGTTACGTTTCTCTCTTAGTGAAGAGGAACTGGAGCTTGGAGAGGTCAAGACTTGCCCAGAAGCACCCAGCTAGCAAGTGACAAGGCTGGAATCAGAGCCCATATTTGCAGGTTCCTTCCCACCACACACCGCTAGGAAATACAAGACACACCTTTCACCCTTCTAACTGATATCTCATGGAACTGAAGGAATAGACACGGCTCATCAGAACCCATACGCCTGCTGGAGACACTCACATGGGGCCAGGGATTTACCCACAGGAATACTGCATTCCAGGAAGGACAACAAGGGGCCAGGAATCAGGACCAGGGGACCAGGTTGGCCTTTCCACCCCCTCTTCTGGAGATTTCTTCAGGCAAAATAAAAGGAAGCGCACGAGCGCACGCGTGCACGCGCACACACACACACACACACACAGAGGGAGAGAAGGAGAGGGAGGGAGGAGGGAGGGAGAGACAGACAGACAGACGGTGCAGATGGAATCTGGCCTTCCTACTGGATGGGATTTGAGAGGCCTGTGAACCTCACTGCCTGCCAAGTCACAGAAAAGAATCCTTCCTTCAACTCTTAGCAACGGAGGATCTGTCAGAGCCCCTAAAACTTTCAGTCGTTGGCACAAAGTCCAGTTAGTCCTTGAAAATTGGCGGGAAGACAGGGAGGGAAGGAACCATAGAGGGGCCATGGAGTTCAGGCAAGATGCCCTTGAGGCCAATGAGTGTCTGGAACCCTCCCCAGGCCCTTGTAGCCAACTGGAGGTGGAAGACCCCTCTGGGAACATGGCTCTGTGAGGTAGCAATAGGGCATATTTATGGCTGGCAGTGCAGTGGGACAAGCCAGACCAGCCTTCCGTCTGAACCCTCTGAGCCCCTGGCAGTGGTGGGAACAACTTAGAGCTCTGAGCCACCTGCCGCTCACACAACACACTGGTTCCTGGCCGCCACGCGCTCCCATACCTAAAGGAGCACGCAGCCCTGTTCAGAGTATTCATGCCCAGGAATCTTATGAGCTATCCTGCTAGAGATGAGACCGGGGTCCAGCGAGGAGGAAGATCCCGGTGGAGCCAGTGTTAAGGGCAAGCAGCGGGACTCCAGAAGCCTTCCTTGCACTGCCAACCCGGGTCAGCGCCAAGGCTGAGCACTCGTTCTAGACGCAAGTTTACAGAGGACCTTTCTTTTCTTGAAAATGAGGTGGCTCATCACCTAGGGCCCAGAGAGGTGACATGACTGGCCCAAGGTCACAAAGCCAGTGAGAGCCTGGGGTAGCTTTGCTGTCTCCGGGGGCACGGTCAGCTCACCCCTCATCCGAGCCTCCCTCCCGGGCCCTTGCCGCCCGGCCCGTTCCCTCCCTCCGCCGGTGGAGGCCGCGGGGCGGGCGGACCGCGGCCTGCGGGCTTGGGCGCTGTCCGCGGTGCTGATCTGCCGCGGCGCCCTCCTCGCCACGTCGCCCGCAGAATCCCTGCCCAGGGTGCATTCGGCGAGTTCGGCTGCGCGCCGGGAAGCTCAGGCCCGATTCCCGGGGTTCGCAGGGCTGGCGGGGCTCCCCCTCCCCCGACCGCGCGCCCGCAGCCTCCCTTCCCCCAGCCCCGCCCACGGCCCCTCCCCGCCGGCCCCTGTCCCTCCCCTCCCCCCCTTATCTCGCCCGCCCCCCGCCCTCTCCAGCTCGTTCGCCAGTTCCGGTCACGTTGCTGGGTGTTTACGCCCGGAGCCCGCCCCAGACCCCCTGCCTCGGCGCCCCGGAGCCCCCCAGAACCCCGGCGCGACCGCCCCACAGCCTCGCAGCAGCTGATGGCGCCGCAGCCAGGCAGGGCGCTGCGGAACCGCGGGCGCAGCTAGCGCGGGGGCAGAGCACCTGCCTGCACCCGGCCCGGCCCGTACCCGGGCCCAGCCGACCAGCAGGTCGCTGCCCAGGTCCCGAAGGTGAGGAGGCTGGTCAGGGACCGTGGGGTGGGCTCGGGGCGGCCCGCGGTGGGGAGCTGCGCGGCAGGACGCCCGCTCCCCCGGGAGGGCTGGCGCAGAGCGCGGGAGGCGGACTGGACCGCGGGTGACGGCAGAAGTTGCCCTCCGCCGCCCAGACCCGGGCCCTGCCTGGCGCTGGCGGGGAGCCAGAGCAGCCTGGGCCGACCCCCACCACCTGGCGTCATGCACACTGTCGGCCGGCGGCTTTGGTACCTCTTTCCGTGCGCGTCAGTTTCCTCATCCCCCCACTCCTGCTTCCCCGGGAGTCAGGGCAGAATATCGAGACTGGAGAGGGTGGGGGCTCCTGCTCCCCCATACACCCCACTCCTATGTATCTGGGTCCGTGCTGGGGTCCTAGGATCTTCAGCAGAGGGAGGGAGCCTGCAGTGAGGGGTACTGGAGGAGGAGAGGCCCTAGGGTAGGGGGCCACAAGGTCCCTGGGGAGTGTGCCTCTGATATCGGCCAAGTGGCCCCACCTCACGGAGCCCCAGGCTTATCGAAGTCTGAGTCCTTGTTCCAGACACAAGTGCCCAGCAGAGCCAAGGACCTGCGGGGGGGGGGGGGGCAGGATGATTATTTGTTACTACGTGGGGTACTTACTTGTCCTGTGACTTTGGAAGGCTCAACTCTTTCTCCCTTGTCCCTCTGATGTTCACTGTGTGCCTGTTCCTTGCAAGGTATTGCCAGAGACAGATCCTTGCCCTCAGGAAGCTTCTGACTTAAACAGAAGCCAGGCATGCACGCAAGTGCACACACAGAATGCCAAATGATAAATGTCAGGACGTGGTGTCACCTGCCACCCCGATTCCAGCAAATTGCCTGAAGAACACAGAGGCAGGAGAGAGTCTTTCCAGTTTGGTGGGGCATCAGGATCAGGATGTCTTCCTGAGGAAGGTAGCCCTGGATCAAGGGGTGAAAAAGAGGTGCAGTTTCAGATGGCTGGTGGATGGGGTGGGCTTGTTAAGTGAGGGGGTATCCATGGTGGTGGGTTGAGTTTGCCATGAGAGCAGCAAGAGGTAGGAGAGATTAGCCTGAGATGTGGGCTGTGTTTGGATGGGTAAGAGCCTTAACTGCCAGAGTGAGCCCCAGTGGGGAGTTCCTAGTAGCTAAGAATTGTGGTTGCATGTGTTGGGCAAACTACTTTACCAGTCTCACCCGCTGTTCCTTCATCTCAGGAGTGGATAGCCTAATAGAGCCTTCAGTGCAGGGTTGTTGTCAAGTGAAAAAGTCTGTGCCCAAGGCTGAGAGCCCTGTCAGTCCCTTCTTATAAATCCCTTCTTACAAGAAGCCTAGATACCATGTCCGAGAAAGCCTTCTTGAGTTCTTGCACACCTCCTGCTCCTGACCTCTGAGTAATGAACAGGAATAATGACTAAGAAAAAGAAAGAATGTATTGATTCATTTATTTATTCATTTGCCACCATGCTGGTCCTACCTCATATACTTGCCATGGCTAAATGACAAAATCAGTCTGACCTCAAACAACAAAACATGCTTACTTAAAGAATTTTAGCAAAACAAAAACTGAGTGTTCACATGATACAAAGATATTTGTTGACTCAATAAATCTTTTCGGTCCCAAAGAGAAAAGAAACACAGGAACAAAATTGAAACTGGGACAAGAGAATCGTTCAGGGAGTGAGGGACACAAACTCCATGTGCACAGATCTCAAGCAGCCCTGGTTCTGGTTCCTCTCCCAGCCACTTCATCTGCCTGCAGGAGAGCTGGCAACTGCAGAGCCCACGAGGGCAGTGAGCAGACCACAGGGGAGGGGAGGGGGAATTTGGACACCCAAGGAAGGACTGGACTATGAAAGTGGTTGCCAAACTTTTTTTTTTAATAGTTATTTATTTATTTGAAAGACAGAGTTACAGAGAGGCAGAGAGAGAGGTCTTCTATCCCCTGGTTTACTCCCCAGATGGCCACAATGGCCAGGGCTGTGCCGTCCTGAAGCCAGGAGCCAGGAGCTTCTTCTGGGTCTCCCATGCAGGTGCAGGGGCCCAAGGATTTGGGCTATCTTCTACTGCTTTCCCAGGCCATAGCAGAGAGCTGGATCAGAAGTAGAGCAACTGGGACTTGAACCGGCGCCCATATGGGATGCCAGCACTGCAGGTGGCAGCTTTACCCACTATGCCACAGTGCCAGCTCCCCCAAACTTTTGTGTAGCAGAAGGCATTTTTTCTGTAGAGATTTATTTATTTATTTGAAAGAGTTACACAGAGAGAGAAGGAGAGGCAGAGAGAGAGAGGTCTTCCATCCACTGGTTCACTCCCCAGTTGGCCACAACGGAAGCCAGGAGTTTCTTCCAGGTCTCCCACATGGGTGCAGGGGCCCAAGGATTTGGGCCACCTTCTACTGCTTCCCCAGGCCACAGCAGAGAGCTGGATCGGAAGTGGAGCAGCCAGGACTCAAACTGGCACCCATATGGGATGCCAGCACTGCAGGCGGCGGCTTTACCCCTACACCACAGTGCCGGCCCCAGAAAGCATTTCTGCAGTGAGTTAACAGGCACGGGCTGCCCATTTTAAAAGAAAGGTGACAAATAAAGCCTTGGGCCCTGCCCTTGAACCCCCATCCTTTTGGCAGCAGCTGAGGCCCCTCTGTACAATTCTGTGGAGCACAACTTGAAAACCACAGGCCGAGGGGATTCGGAAGGTCCTCTGAGTCCCGAGTCCTGATTCTGTGCTTCCTGTGGTCCTTTGAACCCCAGGAGCTATAGGAATGGAGGAGAGGAGAGGACTGAGATTTCCCACCGGCCATGTCACCAGTCAGCAGAGAGCTGGGAAGGAAAGTGGGGATCGGGAAGCTGCAAAGTGACAAGACCAGGAGCCCAGGTGCCGCAGCACCCACGGTTTGGCTGCAGTGGGGGCTGGGCGTGGGAGGCTGTCTAGCCACCTTCCCCATGGAGAGGAATATTTGTGACTTTTAGATGCATGAGAGACAGGTGAAAAGCTTGGAACTGGCTCTGTACATAGTGAGTCCTGTGTGTTAGATCTTTTCTTGGTGGTAATTTTTTTAAATGAACATTTTTTCATCAAGCTAGAAAATTAACATGAACCAGAGCAAGGAGCCCCAACAGAGAGAAGGAGGAACCACAAGGCAAGCTCAGAGGTGGTCAGGACTGGGGGCAGAGAGGCAGGTGGCTTGGGAGGTTGGGCATGAAGGGCTGGTTGTGGGGGACACGGAGCCCTTAGCTCTTCCTTCAGCTGCTCCACCAGCCTGGGCCCAGGTTTCAGGCATGAGTTTGTGAAGCCCAGAGATTCCAGGGCTGCAGTTCGGATGTGAAAACCTGACATTTTCCTGGCATGAGCCTTGGGACATGCTTGTGACTCCCCAGCCATACAGGCAGATTCACGTTGTCCCAACTCACCTCCTTCCCCACTCCATCTCCCACCCTCCCCGCAAACGAACTAAATTCTAACAGCTAAGAAGGAATCCTTGCCAAGATGGCTTGTGACCCAAATTTCTGCCCTGAGCAGAGCAGGCTGCCTCGTTGGAACAAACACTCAAGTCCTCTGGGAGAGCATGGAAGCAGCTGGTCCGCGCAGCCCCTCTCTGCAGCCAGGGCCCATTCTCCAGAACAGTGTAGGAAGGGCTCTCGCTCTTCAGAAATGCTCCTACTCCAGTGGCTGGGACCAGATACCCTCTGTCTTCATCCCAAGCACAGGCCTTCACACCTTCAGCCTCCAGGTGTGCACACACAGCACACACACACACACACACAGATGCTAGGGAATAGAAACACATGCATGCACTCAAGCACATGTGCATGGGCTCAGGCACACGTGCAGACACAGGGCACACCCACCCCACATGGCCTGCAGGTGCACAGATGCACAGACGCAGCTCGCCTGGCTCTCCCAAGTTAGGCAGCATATTCCTCCGCCTGCTGGACATCTTTTCCTCCTGGTCTGAATTCTCGTGGGTTTGTCAAGCCTAACGTGTGCTCTCTTGATCGTACTTGCTCTGTAAATCTGCTTTCTATCAGTCTGTCCCTCCGTCCACAAATTCCCTCACCTGTGCGTTCTACAAATATGTGCTGACTACCTTCTGTTTGCCAGCTGCTGTGCTAGGTGCGAGGGAACAGGAGAAAGAAAAACACCATCCTTCATTCTCTGTCGCTAACAATCTGGCAGTGGAAATGGACAATAAACAAAAACTTCGTCATGCAGTAATAAGTTCATATAAGAAAAGTCAGGCAGATTAAAGGAGTAGAGAGTGATGGAAGACTCTTGACAAATTTTTATTTGATAGGTCAAGAAAGTGAAAGGCAGACAGACAGAACTCCCATCCTTTGATTCACTCCCCAAACGTCCAAGACAGGTAGAGCTGGGCCAGTGCCAGAGCCAGGAGCTGCAAAACAATCTATGTCTCCCATATGGGTGGCAGGGACCCAATGACTTAAAGCCATCACTGCTGCTTCCCAGAGACTGCCATTACCAGGAACCCGGAGTCAGGAGCTGGAGCTGGGACTTGAACTCAGGCACCATAGTCATCCTAAGCTGCATCTTAACCACTAGGCTCAAGGCCCTGCCTGAAGATTCTGTTTTAAAGTGGGCAGTCTGGGACCATATTGGGTAAAGCCACTGCCTGCAGTGCAGGTATCCCATATCAGTCTCGGCTGCTTCACTTCTGATCCAGCTCTCTGCTATGGCCTGGGAAAGCAGCAGAAGATGGCCCAAGTCCTTGGGCCCCTGCACCTGCATGTGAGACCCAGAAGAAGCTCCTGGCTCCTGGCTATCACAGCCCAGCTCCAGCTATTGCAGCCATCTGGGGAGTGAACCAGTGGATGGAAGACCTCTCTCCCTCTCCCTCTCCCTCTCCCTCTCCCCCTCCCCCCTCTCTCCTCTATGTAACTGTGACTTTCAAATTAAATAAATAAATCTTTAAAATATATATATATATATATATATATATATAAAGTGGACAGTCAGGGAAAGGCCCTGGAGAAGCAATATTTGACCAGAAATCTGAAGGGAGGAAGGGAAAGGCCGTGAGGCTTTCCCGGTAGAGGGGGCAGTATATGCAAAGCCTCTGGGGCAAGAATGCTTGGCACATCCAGGAAACAGCAGGGAGGCCAGAATCCCTGGGGTAGAGCCAGCAGTGGGGAGAGCTGTAGGGGACGAGGGCAGAGAGCCTGGTGGTGTAGGGTAGGATGAGAATGTGGAGCTTGGTTGTAAGTTACCAGAGAAGCCACAGGAAGATTTTGGGTGTGGGACAGGGAGTCGTGATCAGACCTATATTTGCTAAAAGGACTCTGGATTCTGTGTGGGAGATAAAGGGCAAGAGAGGAAGCAAGAAGCCATGTAGGAGAGGCTGCAGTGGCACACAAAGGGGCCTGGGTGTTGGTAGCTTGGACCAGGCTGGTAGCAGTGAAGACAGAGAAGTCATTTGATTGGGACTTTTTTGTAGTGGTTGGTGTGATGGCTTAACTTTTTCAATTTCTGTGTGTTTATTTTTATTTATTTGAGAGGCAGAGAGAGACAGAGACAGATAGGGAACGGCAATGAAACAGAGATCATCATCTGCTGGTTCAGTCTCAAATGCCCACAATAGCCAGGGCTGGGCCAAGCGGAAGCCAGGAGTTAGGAATCCAATCCAGATCTCCCACGTGGTGATAGAGACCCAAATATTTGAGACCTTATTACTGCCTCCCAGGGTGTGTGTTAGTAGGAGGCTGGAACTGGAAGTGGAATATCTATGATATGAACCCAGGAACTGTGATGTGGGTATGACCATCCCGACTGATACCTTAACCATGGGCCAAGTGCCTGCCCCAGGGATAATTTTTGAAGGTGGAGCCAGCAGGGACTTTGTTGTGTTTGCCACTTGGCAAAAGCAGAGCCCGGAATGAATGAATGAGAGCCAGAGTGAATGAACACACTCCCCCTGCTGGCACCTCAGTGGGCCAGGAGGAGAAGGAAGAGGGGACATGGCACTGGTGGAGCCAGGTGCTGCGCCGAGACCTCTGCATTTCTCGTCTCATTTCCGGATGGGTACTACTCCACAGCCCCATTCTACAGAGAGGGCAAACGGAGCCCAGAGAACTTTTTTTTTTTTTTTCAGATTTATTTTTATGTATTTGAAAGGCAAAATGATGAGTTCTCCCATCTGCTAGTTCACTCCCCACATGCCCGCAACAGCCAGGGCCGGGCTAGACTGAAGCCAGGAGCCAGGGTCACCATCTGGTACCCAAGTACTTAAGCCATCATCTTCTATCTGCCAGGAGCAGTGTTAGCAGGAAATTCGATCGGAAGCAGAGTAGTAGGGGCTCTGATACAGGATGCAGCTTAAGCCACGGTATCACAGTTCCCATCCCCGTTCCCAGTGGCAATGCTGGGAATCTGCTTTGGGTGGAAAACTTGGTTGGAGAACTGGGTCTGTTGGCCGGCGCCATGGCTCACTAAGCTAATCCTCCGCCTTGCGGCGCCGGCACACCGGGTTCTAGTCCCGGTCGGGGCGCCGGATTCTGTCCCGGTTGCCCCTCTTCCAGGCCAGCTCTCTGCTGTGGCCCGGGAGTGCAGTGGAGGATGGCCCAAGTGCTTGGGCCCTGCACCCCATGGAAGACCAGGAGAACCACCTGGCTCCTGCCATCGGATCAGCGCGGTGCGCCAGCCGCGGCAGCCATTGGAGGGTGAACCAACGGCAAAAAGGAAGACCTTTCTCTCTCTGTCTCTGTCTCTCTCTCTCTCACTGTCCACTCTGCCTGTCCAAAAAAAAAAAAAAAAAAAAGAATGAGAACTGAGTCTGCCGCCACCTACTGAGCGTGGGACGTGGCACAAGTCACTTGAGTCCCAGTTCCTTTGTTTGTGAAATGGGTGTGGTGGTCTTGTGTGGTTGGCAGAAGGAAGACAATGTGTACAAAGTTCCCTGAACGGAGCAGACGGTCAGTAAATGGCCCGTGAGCTCCCCACCGCCCCACCCTGAAGTGAAAATCCTGTTGGTTGGATTGGAGGGTCCGGCGGTACGAGGGAAGGAGCCCAGGGTGACAGGGATGTTCTCAGGTGGGCCTGCTCCACGTGACCCTACAACTGAGAGCCTTGTCTGCAGAATCCACGGCAGCCAGTCTGGGGACAGCCATCTGCTAAGCAAAACTGTTGGTCTTGTGGCCTCCCTCGCCCACTGCCCTGGAGACTCCCAGGTGCTTCAAAGCTGAGGAAAGCCAGGCACTCAGAGCCCTGGGCCTCGTGGTTCTGCTCTCTGTCTGCTTCCCCAGGATGCTGATGGTCAGGGCAGAGACTGGCCAGGACAGGCCCAGGACCACAGAGGGAGGGCTGGAGGTCCTGGCCACACCTGGGCCTGGGAGTGCATCCCTCCCCATGCCACCCCAGGATCTCACTGTGCAGGTCACCTCATAAGCCCTGAGCCATTGTCAGCATCAGGCTTAGGAACATGGAGGCACCCAGAGCCCCCGGTGAAGGTGGACCTGGGGGATGAGGGGCGGGGGGCTGCGCTTGGAGCCATCAGGCTGCCCTGTGGGGCTCATCCACTTCACCACTCCCTTCTTTTCACCCGCGAGGAAAGTGAGAGCCCAGGGAAGGAGAGAGCTTGCCCCAGGTCACAGAGCCAGTGGGAAAAAGGGCAAGAACGGGTCTGCGTCTCCCCCCTACAGTGTTGCTCCCCTTGTTTTCCTCTCTGAGGAGTAGCAGAGGCCAGAGGTGCATGGGAGCAGGAGAGTGAAGCCAGGTCCCTCTGGGCTCTGTTGCTTCATCTATTAAATGGGGATAATTACTCTCTCCTGGAGTGGGTATTTAGCCCACGTCTCACATTAGAGTGCCTGGGTTTGATGCCCAGCTCCAGCTCCTGGCTCCAGATTCCTGCTAATGCAGACCCTGGGAGGCAGCAGGGAGCACTCAAGTGGCTGGGTCCCTGCCACCCAGACTGAGTTCCCAGCTTCAGCCCCAGCCAAGCCTAGCCACTGCAGGCATTCGGGGTGCGAACCAGCACATGGGAGCTCACTTGCTCTCTCATTTTAGAGGTAGAGTTACAGACAGGGAGAGGGAGGGGGAGGGGGGAGAGAGAGAGAGAGAGATCTTGCTTCTACTGGTTCACTCCCCAAATGGCTACAATGGCCAGAGCTGCAGCAATCTGTAGCCAGGAGCCAGGAGCTTCTTCTGGGTCCTCCACATGGGTGCAGGGACCCAAGCACTTGGTCCATCTTCTACTGCTTTCCCAGGCCATAGCGGAGAGCTGGATTGGAAGAGGAGCACCTAGGACTAGATCTGGCACCCATATGGGATGCCACCATGCAGGCGAAGGATTAACCTACTGTGCTACAGTGCCGGCCCTATCTCTCTCTCTTAAAAAAAAAAAAAAAAAAAAAAAAAAAAAAAAAAAAAACTGTAGGGGGCCAGCATTGTAAGGGCCTAACTCCTGCCATATGGTAGTCCCGCTGCTCCACTTCCGATCCAGCTCCCTGCTAATGTACCTGGGAAAGCAGTAGAAGATGGTCCAAGTCTCTGGGCCCTGCACCCACATGGGAGACCAGATGAAGTTCTTGGCTCCTGGCTTCAGCCAGGCAAGGAGTGAACTAGCAAGTGGTTTTTTCTCCTCTCTCTCTCCCTGCTCTGTCCCTACAACTGCCTTTCAAATAAATAATAATTCTTAAGCTGTACTTCTCTGCCAGTGTCCCCACTTGCTCATGAGATCTGGCTGAGTAAATGCAAGGGAGGTGACAGCAGTGACAGCAGCATCGTCTCCCTGGGGGGCACGAGGACGCCAGCGTGCAGGAGACGATGAGGCATCCCAGGGCGGAGCGGGGCAGTCGGGCTCAGAAGAGGGGGTTCACCTTGTCCTCCCTCCCCAGGTGGGGCCCAGGCCTGGTTGCCATGGACACCGTGTCGCTGGAGCACCAGATCCAGAGCGCACAACGCCACATCAGCTTCCTGAAAAAGGAGCAGATGGCCCTGCTGCGGGACCTGCACCTGGAGATCCTGCGGCTGCAGAAGCGCTGCTCAGGTGAGGCCGAGGGGCCGGAGGCCGCCTGGGGGCAGGGCTCGCCGTCACCACCATCCTCATTGGGGGCCCCCACACCTGGGCCGCCACCTCTGCTCCTGGATGAGGAGCCTGAGTCTCGGGGAGGGGAGACACAAGTTTGGGGGCACAGAGCTCTGGCTGGGTAGCAGGGGGCGCAGAGCCGGGGCACCAGCTGAAATAGGCAGTGGAGCTGGGGCACCCGGGCATCAGGTCGTGGGGACGCACGGCTTTCCCCAGTCGCTGTTGGCTAAGCAGCTCCCAACCCTCTGGAAGCTACGCCCAGCAGGGAGGTGCACTCAGCAACAGGCAGTATTAAAATGCAGCCGAGAGCAAGGAGGCTGGTGGGGGTGCACTGGCAGGGTGGTGTCCAGCTGGAGGAACAGGTGAGGAGGGAGACCAGGTGAGGGAGGCTCCCCAGAGGAAGGAGGAGTTCACCCTCCAGAAGGCTGTGGCAGAGGAGAGGGTGAAGAAAGTGTCCATGTGCAGGGCACAGCATGGCAGAGTCCCAAGGGGTAGGGACTGAACGCTGCTACCTGACCGGATGAAGCTGCACTTACAGCTCGCTAGGGAGAGGTCCCCAGGGCGGGCCAGAGCCCACAAGACCTTGATAAGAAGCAGCAAAGCTAGGAGTTTGCCATCTCCTCCTCGGAAGTGGGGAGCCCCTGCAGGCTCCTGAGCTGCAGAGTGCTGCGGGGTCCGCGCGATGCGCATTCACAAGCTCCCCTGGCAGCCGGGTGCAGGATGAGCGCGGTGGAGCCAGTGGAGAGCTGGGGCCAGAGGTGACCAAGTGCTCCGGGGGAGCGATGGGGAGGACGGGGGGGGGGGGGGGGGGCAGGTTGACGGAACACACTTGGCAACTCCATGGATCTGTGAGCCGGGCAGAGGGAGGGACCCAGGACTCCCAGGCCTGGCCTCAGCTGCTTGGGCCTCCAGGAGGCTTGGCTGTGGCCCAGATGCTCACCCAAGCTGAGTCTCCAGATACAGGCTTTAGAACCAAGGCCCCGGCCCTCTCTGCTAGGAGGGCCCACCCTCTTCATTGTACAGCAGGTGAACTGAGGCCCAGTTCCCACATCGTGCTGCTGCCCGAGCCAGGATTAGAACCCAGAGCTCCAGACTCCCCGTCCTGGCTTCTCACACCTTCTCACGAGAGGCCACTGGTTTTGACTTGCAGCTGCACGTTTAGGCCCTGCGGCCCCATTGCCACACCAGCACCTTGCAATCATTACCAAAGACCTCAGGCCAGCCCCTGGGTGGGGCAGGAGCAGGGAGTCCGCAGGCTCACCCCAGCCTGGTGCCACCGCTTCACTCAACGACAACATCACAAAAAAATGGGGACCCTAAGATCTTGGGGCAGCCCCTCGAATTTCCGTTTGTTTTTCGCTGGTGCTGAGGCCCTGGGTCCCTCCACTCAGGACACAGCCCAGATCCCAAGAAAGTGTCACGAGCGGTTCCAGAGGGCTCTGGGGCCCCACGGCTCTTCTCAGGCAGGTGCAGGCCTGCAGGCTCTTGGTTATTGATTAAGGAGATAAAAATAGCTCTGTGCTGGGCTGCAATGGCTGAATAAGGTCCTGCCTCCTGGGGGAGGAGGTGAGGAAGAGAAGGGAGAAGAGCAGAGGAGAAGAGATGAGAGAGGGACCCAGAGGCTGGAAGCCAGGAGGGAGGGGGAGGGAGGAAGGGGCTTTGGAATGCAGTGGTGGGAGCTGTGTTCTGGGCTCCTGGGGCAGCCTGGATGATGACAAGAACTGCCCTCCATGGATTCAGTGCGCACTCTGCCCTCAGTTTATTTTCCCTCATTTCATCCTACTCGTAAGGTGGCTCCTTGTAAGGTGGCTGCTGCTTTAACCCCATCTTCCAGATGGGAAAACTGAGACTCAGAGAGCTGCTGTTACTGGCCCAAGGTCCCACCGTGTATCTGACCTCCCAGCATGGAGACTCTGGCCAGGAGATGGCCAGGTGGGGACTGGAGCCAAGCTGGGATTCTGTCTCCCCACCCCCACGCCCCGCAGTTAAGGGCTCAAGAGGAAGAGCCCGCGGGGAATTCGTGGCAGAACCAAGATTTCTTGGGCTAGGTCCCTGAGCCCAGTCAAAGCTCCCTTAAGCTACATCGCAGGGACTTGGAGGAGGGGCCAAGTTGATGCCAGGAAGCCCCTGGGGATGGAGACCTGGGAGTCCTCACAGGGGCCCTAGGGAAGGGGTTCAGGCTCCGGTCACAGCCAAGGCGCCCTGTCTCCCAGCAACAAGTGGCCTCCCCAGAGAAGCCACCTCTGGTGACACCCTGGGATTCCAGAAGAGCCCAGTTAGGCAGCCAGGAGGAGTGGGCAGCGGGGCCATCGGGCTGGGCCCTGCAGGTAAGCGCAGGTGCTCCTGAGCAGGCCTCCTCCCCCACGGTAACGGCGGCTTCTGGTTCCCTACTCTCCTTGCCCAGTTCTTGAGCCCCAGGGGAGCTGCGAGAGTGGAGGTGGGGCTGGGGTGAGAGATGGAGTGTTTGCAGTGCTAAGCAGTGGGCACCGTGAGGACAAGCAGAAAAGACACGGCTCCTGCATCGGCGCCCCTGGGTGGCTCCTTGCCACCCCGCCCCCTCCCTGCCAAGTGGAGCCCCGATGCAGCTTCCCGTCACTGGGTGGCGCTGTCCTCCTTGTAGCGCCTCTCCCTGTCCGCTGGAATCTGGCAGAGCTGTGTATGGAGAACAACACTGGCACAGCAGTGCTGGCTGTACAACAGTGAATGAATGGGCATATGTCCGGTGGGTAAACATCCACTGCCCTGAGCCCGCCCACCGCCACTGCCCCCGGGCAGGCCCGGACACTCCAGCGTCAGACAGCAAAACAGGCAAGGGTCAAGGTCCTGCCCAGCTAGGCTCCCCCCGAACTGTGGTGTCTCTCCCCAGGAAGGGGTCAATACGTCTTCAGCCCCAAAACAAGCTGGGCTTCTCAGACCCGGAGTTTGAGCTGCAAAGGTATCGGAGTTTGAGTGCGTTTCTTCGTGTGTTCCCCTCCAGGCTGCAGTAAACCAAGTCCGAGGTAGACTCAGAGGCTTCCAAGGTCCCTTCCTGCTGCTGTACTGAGTTGTCACTCCCTCATATCTACACCCCCCCCCCCGACATCTTTCCCTTTCTTCCCCCCAGAACTGACCCGGGACCTGGAGATGAGAGAGGCGCAGTCCCACCAGCAAGGTAAGAGGCTTGCAGGCTGTCAGCAGCCCGCGGGCCTTCTCCCCACCCAGCCCAGACTTGGTGACACCCCCTCCGCGGCCTGCTGAGCAGAGCACAGGAGGTCACCCCCACCTGCCCATGCAGCTGGGTGACCCTGTGCCGTGAACAACCTGCAGCACCACCCACACTGCCCTGTATCCCTGCCTGGATCCAGTTGGAAATAGGACAGCGGGAGGGAGGTGCTCCATGGTGTTACATGCACCTGGCTGGCCTGCTTGATGCCTCACCAGTCCCTCCCCACCCTTGCAGGTGGTCTCAAGGTCTCCAGGATGCTGAGTGCCCGGGGGGGGTGGGGGCAACACAGTGGCAGTAGGGGGTCCTTGACCTCAAGGGGCTTAGTGGAGATGAACAATTAGCAACTCCTTCATTTCACAGAAGTGTTGCTCCCTGCCATGTAGCAGTTAAAATATGTGTATAGAGTATTAGGTCTTCCATAATACCGTGGTGCTGGGAGGCCATGGTGTTCAGGGAGGACAGAGTTTCAGCTTTGCAAGGGAAAAACATTCTAGAGATCTGGGGAGTAATAGTGAACATACTTAACACTATGGAAATACAAAAATGGTGACATTGGCAAATTTTATTTTATGTGTATTTTACCACAATTAAATTTTAAATGAGGAGTGAGGGGGAGGATTGTATTCCTGAGATCTTTTTTTTTTTTTTTTTTTTTTTTTGACAGGCAGAGTGGACAGTGAGAGACAGAGAGAAAGGTCTTCCTTTTGCCATTGGTTCACCCTCCAATGGCCGCCACGGCCAGCGCACTGCGGCCGGCGCACCGCGCTGATCCGATGGCAAGAGCCAGGTGCTTCTCCTGGTCTCCCATGGGGTGCAGGGCCCAAGCACTTGGGCCATCCTCCACTGCACTCCCTGGCCACAGCAGAGAGCTGGCCTGGAAGAGGAGCAACCGGGACAGAATCCAGCACCCCGACCGGGACTAGAACCCGGTGTGCCGGCATGGCAAGGCGGAGGATTAGCCTAGTGAGCCACGGCGCCGGCTGAGATCTTTTATTTATTTGCATTTTATTTGAGAGAGACAGACATTTAGACAAAGCAAGATGTCCCATCCACTGGTTCACTCTGAAAATGCCTACAACGGCCAGGGCTGGGCAGGGCTGAAACCAGGAGCCCAGAACTCAGTCCAGGTTCTCCACGTGGGCAGCAGGGACCCAAGTACTTGAGCCATCACCTGCTGCCTCCCAGGGTGCTCATAAGCAGGAAACTGGATGGGAAGCAGAGCTGGGACTCAATCCCAGGCACTGGGATGGGAGATGCAGAACTTAACTGCCGCTGAGATCTTAGCCGGCAGCTGCTAGGTCCTCTGAGAACTGGGCCTGGGTGCACACTGCCGGATGTGGGGCGACGCATGAACCGCTTATTAAAAACCGGTCTCAAAGTTCTTCAGAACACACTCCCTGCCACGGGATGGTTGCTCAGGGACCAAGAGCTCCGTCACCTGTCACTGGGGGTGAGGAAGACTGGAATTTCAAGCTCAAATGCCAGAAGCCCTGCAAATCCCGGTGTATTCCTGCATACAGAGCAGCTAGGGACCGTCTAAACATCTAGGAACTGCCCATCTCTTTCGATGGTGATGAGGGACAATCTCTTGGTGCCTAGACACCTGGAGGAAGGGGACACACATCCCAGATACCGCATGAGGACAGACCTGTGAGCACAGCAGCCCCCCCCCCCACTGCCCTTCATCTCAAAGGGTCCCCAGGGCTCAAGCTATTGTTGCACTGCCTTGATTTTTATCTTCTCTTAAAGGGATTGAGAATTCTCCTAAGCCACTGCTTGGGACACCCACATCCCATAGCGGAGTGTCTAGTTTCAAGTTCCAACTCCACTTCCTGTCTAACTTCCTGCTAATGCAGATCCAGGTGATGGCTCAAGTTCCCAGGTCCGTGACCCCCACGTGGCAGACTGGCATTGAGTTCTGGGCTCCTGGTTTGAGCCTGGCCCAGCCTCCTATTGTGGACATTAGGAGAGGGAACCAGTGGATAGATCGACCTCTCTTTCAATTAGATGAAAAACATTAAAAGGAGAGAGAGAAAATCCTCTCTGTCCTCCTGTCACTTGGTTTTTTTCTTTTTTTCTACATCTCATTTACTGTACTGAACGTGCAGTGCAGGAGGCAGTGGGGGAAGGAAGCACTGAGGGGTCAGAGCAAGGACACTCCCCACCCCTGCGCTGACCAGGGCTGGCCTTAGCAACAGCACAGACAGGGAGCAGGGCGGTGGTCCAGCCCCAGGGCTGATTCTCTTCTGCTTGGAGTGGGCAGAAAGGAGACACAGCGCAAATACCGGGCAGCCAGAAAAAGAAGACACGAAGTGCCCACGTCCCTCCAGGGGCCGCCCTTTGCCTGCCCTCGCTCTCATGGGCTCTCAGGTCCCGCTGCGGGCCTGCTGAGTGGGCGCTTGTGAGCCAGGAGGCAGCGTACCAGCTCGCCCGCTCCCCTGCTGGAATCCCCAGGGCCATCCCCAGGCCCCGTTAACCCCAGAGATTCCGATCCAGTTGATCTTTGGTAGGGGCCAGGAAGCAGGTTTTTTTTTTTTTTTTAAGCTGTCTAGATGGTTCCAATGTATTTCCAGAGTTGAAAACTGCTGGAGTGGCAAAGGCAGAGGATAAACAAGTAAACAAAGTTTTGAAATGTGACACTTTACAAAGTGCTCCCAGCTCTCTCTGTCATGGGGCTTTTGCACAAGCTGTCCCCACTATCAGCACCCACCTCTCCCCTCCTCACTACTTAACTCCCATTCGTGCTTCAGGTGCTAGCCCCAGTATCTCTCTGCCGGGAAGCCTCCCCTGATTAGGTCATGTTCTCCTCTGACAGTCCTGGCATGGGTCTGTTTCTTTCTGGCACCTGTCACAGTACAACCTCGCATTCATTTATGCGCTGGAAGCTTCCTAAAGACCGTTTTATTATCCACCATATCCCCAGTGCCCAACACCGCGCACCACAGTCAGGCTCAACAGTTTATCCCTGGGTTGGGAAGGGGTGTGCTAAGGTGAAGCCTGAAGAATTGGAGGCGAGGCCGAGCAGGGCTTAAGACGGGTTCTAGGGCTGCGTGGGCAGGGACCGCCACCTCTCCCCTCCATCTCCCCTTTCCAGAGGAGGCGTCCCGGGAGCTGGAGAGCAAGTGCCGGGCCCTGGAGTCGCAGGTGGCGGCGCGGGCCGCAGCGAACGCCGAGCTGCGGCGGGAGGTGGCGCAGCGCGAGGCCCTAGTGACAGCGCTGCGCTGCAGCCTGCGCGCCGAGGAGCGCCGCTTCCTGGAGGAGCTGCGGCGCCGTAGCCACCGCGCCACCGTGCTGGGCACCGAGCTGCAGAAGCACACCGAGGCGGCCGCCTACCTCTCCTGCCAGCTGCACGCCGCGCGCCAGAGACTGCAGGCCCCGCGCCCGGGCCCCTCCGCTGCCGCCGCCGCCGCCGCCGAGCCCCGACCCCGCCGGCGCCCACAGCGGGCCCGTCGCCCGCCTACCGACGCCGCCGCCGCCGCCAAGGGCCCCAGTCGGGACTGGGCCGCCTGGGACCGCGCGGCCTGCGCCCTGGACGACGCCGAGCCCATGCCTGACCCCGCGCTCTTCCTTAACGCCCGGAGGCCCCCGCGGCCCAGCGGCCGCAGCCCGCGCCAGCCGCCTCCCCAAGAGCCCTCGGACCAAGCCGGCCCACAGCCGGGGCCCTGCCGGAGCCCACCAGCAGCGCCCGGCCCGCCCAGCGCGCCCGGGGACCCGGAGTAGGCGCAGGGCTGGGGGCAGTCGGAGAAGAGCCGGCCAAGGGCCCGGCTAGGGACGCAGGCTGCCCCGCAGGCAGGTCCCGGGACTAAAGGCAGCCACCCCACCTCCGGGGAGAGGGCCTTTCGGCGGCCCCAGCTCCCCACCCGCTCCAGCCACCCCTGCCTTTTGTATCCCCCGGCGTGGCCAAAGCTTCGAGCTCTCCCCTCCCACGAGGGAGCGGTTGCACCTCGTTCCAGGTGGGGACCCGCGCTTCAGACACTCCTGTGGTCTCCACCCTGCCCCTGGGAGGGGAGGGCTGGGACACGCCCTGCGAGGGAATGCTGACAATCGTTTGCCGGGAGAGAAAGGCTGGCCTGGCTCAGAAAGGATGCAGAGTGGCACCCCTGGGCCGTCCGGCCGGTGCCCCTTCCCCCGCGCCGCAGCCCTTTCTGCCGAGCCTCCTTCCTCCCCAGGAGAGGTTCTGCCCGGTGGGGCTGATACTCTGACCCCGAAGCCACTTCCCCTGCCCCTACCCGGTCTACAGACCCACTGTAGAAGGTGCGCCCTCACAGAGCCCCTGGACGGCACTGTGCGGCCTGCTGGCAGTCCCCTTCTGGAGGTGGCGCCCACAGAACCTGGGGGGTGGGTTTGTGGCCAGCCCTGGTCTGCCGCTGCCTCCTGCTTTGCCCTTCCCAGCCACGCCACCCAAGTGAGGCTTGGTGCAGGCAGGGAGCCGTGCCGGGAAGCCGTCTGGAAGTTCTCGTGGACCTGGTTATCGGTGCCCAGCTTCCGGATCTGCTGGCTGCACCCAGAAATAGGGAAGGCCAAGGCCGGGCTGCTGGCCCAAGTTTGGGTTGCTGGGGATGGAAGTGGCAGACAGGTTAGCCCCTGGCCGCCCCTCCAGGGAGTCCCTAAGCCATCAGAACCTGCCCGCAGGTTCTGTGGGCTGAGGAGGTGGGAAGCAGAATGCCCCTCTTAACTCCCCTGCTCACCCCACCCCCAAAGGCAGGAAGTGCAGTCTGCATGGTTCCCGGTGCCCCCCCACCCCGGAACCTCCCTGCTGTCCCTCCTATGTTGGTCCCCCATCAGTCCTAAGTGCCTGTGAGGGAGGAAGGGGCAGGGACAAGTGTTTCCCGCCCTCAGACACTGGTCGCTGGCATCTGTGGGTCACCCGGGGCTCCAGGAGGTGACCAGTCCATCTCTAGCGATGGAGAATCCTCTCCAACAACCGCCCCCCCCGGAAGGAGCTAGGAGACCCCAACCCTGTCCTCTCTGTCGGGAGTGGGAAATTGGGGGAAAAGCAGAAACCGGTGAGCCCGGCTTCCCAATCAAACATGCAGCCTCCTCCCAGGGGACCCTGCCCAGCACTGCTGAGACCCCTGAGCAGTACCAGGCCTAGCCTGGGGGGTCCTGCTCCAAGGATTCCGGGAGCGGGGAGGGGGGAGGACTGGGGAAGACAGTACCTGCAGGCTGCACCTGGGGGTGGGGGTGGCCTGGGGTCCTTGCCCTGCCTGCCCCCACCCCACCCCATCAGCTCCTGAGGCTTGCCGGGGAATGCAGTGCCTGGCTTGCTCGCTGTCCTACCAGAACCCATGGATGTGGTGTGGGGGAGGGGTGCGGCCTTGCTCCTCTCTTCTCCAGGGCGCCTGCAGGGCTGTGGGAAGGAGAGAGAAGGTCCCTTTCTGGCAGAGCCCCCTAGACCCTCATCTCCCACAGCCACACTTTTGGGGTGAACAGGGTGACTTTGTTACATTGATGCTGTACACAGATAGCGAAGTCCTTTATTGCCCCCCACTCACTAAAAGCCATAGCTATGCCCGCTCCCCTGCCCAGTCTATAGCAATAGCCCTCTTTCCTGCCCTCCTCCTGGATGCCGGGTGTCCATCTCAGGCCCTGGGGTGTTCTGGTGGCCTGCCAGGTGACCCCATCGGCACCTCCCAACCCCCTCTTCCAACACCCAGAGATAATGACTCCTAATGGTTTGTGGGGTGCTTGGAGATCCCCCAGATGAAAGGTTCTGAGTGCTGGAGTGGCTGACTCACTGGCACCTGAAGTGTTGGGGTGCCTGGGAAAGGATCTAAGGCAGCCCCATCCCCCAGCAAGTAGGGGGTGGGGCAGATACAGGTTCCCATGGTAATAAAACTGCCCCTCTCTTGAAAATCACAGAGCAACAGGGTCTGCACCTGCCCACCCCAGGCAAGGGACAGACCCCTCCGTGCAACAGAATGGAACCAGGAGCAACATTCCTGATCTGCCCTTGGCCTCAGCTTCCGGCCCCCCCACCCCAGCCTCCGGACACGGCTTAAGGGCCCATCTGGCCAAAGGAGAACCTCCCAGCCCTGCCCTTGGAGTGGGTGGGGACCAAGATGGGGAAAGAATGCTTATCATCCCTGCCACTGCTGCAGGAGGAGGAAGGTTGATGTGACACTCAGGGTCCCTAGGGAATGCTCCTGCCAGGCTCCGAGTACCGGCAGAGCTAGGTGAGAAAGCTGCGGAAGAGGGGCCCCCTCTGTCTAGAGCCAGCGGGAGAGCAGTGGCCGTGCAGAGTGAGGCTCTGGATCCCGTCCAGGTCCACGGATGGGACAGCCCTCCTCCATACAAGCAGCGGGATGGGGTCTCCCCTGGGAGGAGAAGGCAACACGAGGGTGTGGTGCAGCAATGCTCTGTGGAGAGGCCTCAGGCCCCGCCTACTGACCACATGCCAGACTTGGGTGGGGTGTGTGCAGGGCTTCAGGACCTCCGGGCAGGAGCCCCCTGGGGCAGAGCAGAGGATCCTGCTCCAAATTCTGTTGGCTGCGCTTTTTAATCCAATGCTTTTCAGAGTATACTCACTCACCCACAGAAATAGGGCCCTGTGCTTTAGGGGTGACTGTCATATGCCTTATTCTTAATAAAATATCTGACAAACATGTGGCTCAGGTCTGTTCTTGTGGGCCCTCAGCAGGGAGAGGATGTAGAGGAGGTACCAGAATGATTCGAGAGTCAGACTGAGCCATGTGTCCCTCTCAAGCCCCATCAGTGTGACCTTACCTGGGTCCCGGGGGGGAGGGATCAGCCCCCAAACACGTGGACTGAGATGGGTGGAGCCTTCCCCAAAAGGAAGACACAGGTCCTGTATCAGGAGGGGTTGTGGGCAAAACCATTAGGTTCCCTGCATCCTTGGAACAGAGTGGCCTTTTCTCCCAGGCATCCACGACAGGGGCCTACTTTGAAATGTGTTGGCTTGTGGGTGGACGTTTGGGGCAGCAGTTCTGCCCTGTCGCGGGATGCCCACAACCCCTATTGCAAAGCCTGGGTCAAGTTTCTGCCTACTCAACTTCTGACCTAGCGTCCTGCTAATGTGCTACCTGGGAAGCAGCAGGTAATGGGCCAAGTACATGGGTCCCTGCCACCCATGTGGGAGACCCAGACTGAATTATTGGCTCCTGGATTCAGCCTGGCCCAACCCTAGATGTTGTGGGCATTTGGAGAGTGGAACAGCGATGGAGATTGTGCTCTGCCCCGCCCCCACAGCCCCGTTTTTCTATTTCTGCTTTCAAATGAAAATAAGTAAGTAAATATGTTTCAAGACTCCACAGGGGATGTCCAAATGCCATATCAGAACACTTAGGTTTCAGTCTTGGCTCCACTTCCCCTTCCGGCTTCCTGCTAATGCTCACCCTGGGAGGCAGCAGGGGTTCAAGTGCTTGGGTCTCTGCCACCCACGTGGGAGACCTGGATTGAGTTACTGGCTCCTGGCTTTAGCCTGGCCCAGGTCCAGTTTTTACAGGCATTTGGGAAGTGAGAGAATAGATGGAAGATCTCTATGTCTCTATGCCTTTGAAATAAAATAAATCAGTAAATACAATTTTTTTTTTTTTTTTTGACAGGCAGAGTGGAGAGTGAGAGAGAGAGACAGAGAGAAAGGTCTTCCTGTGCCGTTGGTTCACTCTCCAATGGCCGCCGCGGCTGGCGCGCTGCGGCCGGCACACCGCGCTGATCCGATGGCAGGAACCAGGTACTTCTCCTGGTTTCCCATGGGGTACAGGGCCCAAGTACTTGGGCCATCCTCCACTGCACTCCCTGGCCACAGCAGAGAGCTGGCCTGGAAGAGGGGCAACCGGGATAGAATCCGGTGCCCCGACCTGGACTAGAACCCTGTGTGCTGGCGCCGCAAGGCGGAGGATTAGCCTAGTGAGCCACGGCGCCGGCCAGTAAATACAATTTTTTTTTATTTTTTTATTTTTTGACAGGCAGAGTGGACAGTGAGAGAGACAGAGAGAAAGGTCTTCCTTTGCCGTTGGTTCACCCTCCAATGGCCGCCGCGGCCGGCACACCGTGCTGATCCGAAGGCAGGAGCCAGGTACTTATCCTGGTCTCCCATGGGGTGCAGGGCCCAAGGACTTGGGCCATCCTCCACTGCACTCCCTGGCCACAGCAGAGAGCTGGCCTGGAAGAGGGGCAACCGGGACAGAATCCGGCGCCCCGACCGGGACTAGAACCTGGTGTGCCAGCACCACAAGGCGGAGGATTAGCCTAGTGAGCCGCAGCGCCGGCCATAAATACAATTTTGAAGAATGTAATGGCCTGAATTCTTATGGGTGCCGGGTGAGCTGGATTGCTAAAGCTGTAGTCCCGAGTTAGCGTTCAGGAGCAGAGGCTAGAATGGGGCTCAGCTCCAGAAGGCTGAGCTTCTCACAGTTGGATCAGATCAGGGTGGGGAACCAGCATGGCCAAAGACACCCCCACCCTCGGATGGGTGATTCTGTGCCTGGCTGGGGCATTGCCTGCCCAGCCCATGCAGGAGGTTAGGCAGGTGTGGCACACCAGGCCTCTGGGTATGGCCTGACTGCTGGCAGGCTGCAGGAGCCCCAGGCACATTTCCCTACCCACTCCCTGTTGAAGGGTCTTGTCAGTACCAATCAGGTAAACAGCTCGTGGGTGTGGCCCAGGCCCATTAGAGCCACCTGGAAAGCTACCATAGCTGACATGACCTTCGAGCTGATTGGAGAAGCCTAGCGAGAGCCAATATTGGCTGTATCCTATAGAATTTGTGTTGCCCTGAATTAGCTGTGCCCCCTCTGCCTGCCCTTTAAAAGGTGTGCTTGATCATTTAATAAACCAACACGTTCACCGAAACTTGCCTCCGGTGCTTCTTGTTGAAGAACACCATCGCCCCAGCATCCCGGCAGTGTGGACCTCGCAGGACGAGTCCACAGGCCAGAGCAACGGACACCTCCAGGCATGGAGCCTTTCCAGTCCATGCCTCCTGGCCTGCACCAAGAGCCTCTGACATCTTGTTTGTTCATTTGGATTGGGCTGGCATGGACAGGGGGAAGGGCAGGACTAGCCTGAGGGACAGGACACCACACGGGAGCGCTTCATGCCTAATCTAAGGAACCCCAGACTCTCAGCTCTCGTCAAAAAGATAGCCACTCTAAGGCCGGTGCCGCAGCTCAATAGGCTAATCCTCCGCCTTGCGGCGCCGGCACAACGGGTTCTAGTCCCGGTCGGGGCACCGGATTCTGGCCCAGTTGCCCCTCTTCCAGGCCAGCTCTCTGCTGTGGCCAGGGAGTTTAGTGGAGGATGGCCCAAGCCCTTGGGCCCTGCACCCCATGGGAGACCAGGAGAAACACCTGGCTCCTGCCTTCGGATCAGCGCGATGCGCCAGCCGCGGTGGCCATTGGAGGGTGAACCAACGGCAAAGGAAGACCTTTCTCTCTCTCTCTCTCTCTCTCACTGTCCACTCTGCGTGTCAAAAAAAAAAAAAAAAAAAGATAGCCACTTTAAGTCCTTTTATTAAAAAAAATATTTACTTATTTGTTTATTGGAAAGGCAGAGTGGCAGAGACAGGGAGAGATCTTCCATTGCTGGCTCACTAACACAAATGACCACAACAACAGGAACTCCATCTGCGTCTCCCACGTGGGTGCAGGGGCCCAAACATCTGGGTCATTGCTGCTGCTTTCCCAGGTGCACTAGCAGGAACCTGGATCAGAAAAGGAGCAGCTGGGGGTTGAGTCTGTGCTCCAATATGGGAAGCTGGCATTGCAAGGGGTGGCTTAACCTCCTGTGCCATAATGCCAGCCCCAGCCACCTCCAGGCATGTTCTAAGGATGTTCTAAGGATGCAAGGAACCTAATGGTTTTGCCCCAAACCCCTCTAATAACAAGGCCTATCTCCCTTTTGCGGAACTGCCTCCACCCCTCTCAGTCCACATGTTGGGCAGTTTGACTTCAGGGTCTCCCAAGCAGACCCCTGGAGCTGCTGGGCTGAGTCCATCCCAGAGTCACAGTTGGGAGCCAAGCTGGGCAATGTTGGCAACAGACAACCCTCCGAGGACATCCACGCAAGCCCTCCGTGTTTTAGGTGGGGAGCCCGAGGCCTGCAGCATCTCACTGGTTGTCTTCCCTTCCTCTCTAGAAGTTCTGCCCACACAGGTTTGGGGTTGATGGGGGTGAGACATTTAGGGGTCCCCAGAGTCAGACCAGGAAGGTAAAAGAGGTTTGGGTTCCTGCTCCACCCCTCCGAGGCCCAGGGGAACTCTGCAAGGGAGGGGGAGGTGGGGTAATTAGGGAGGTGGGAAGCTCTAAGCAGGTGATGCCAGCTGGTCTCAGCCTACATAAAAATTCTCTTTGTCCTTTTACAACATCCTTTCTTTATGAAGATTTATTTATTTATTTGAAAGGCAGAGTTACACAGAGAGAGGGAGAGCTCTTCCATCTGCTGGTTCACTCCCCAAACAGCCACAACAGCTGAGGCTGGGCCAGGCCAAAGCAAGGAGCTTGGACCTCCATCTGGATGTCTCACATGGGTGGCAGGGGCCCAAGCACCTGAGCCATCTTCCATTGTTTTCCCAGGCTCATTAGCGGAGAGCTGGATCGGAAGTGGAGCAGCTGGGACTCCTATACCAGATGCTGGGGTCACAGGCGGCAGCTCAACTCGCTATGCCACAATGCTGGCCCCTTTATGCAGCATCTTTACACAGGGGCCTGCCTCAGGAGTGCCGCCGGGAGCCCTGAGGATGGGAGTTGTGCAACAGGAGCCTGTGAGAGAAAGGGGAAGACAAGTTCCAGAGCCTAAGGCTGTGGCACTGGTTAGTCATGAGGCTCACGGATAGACTGGTTACCAGCCTCCACGCTGGCAGCAGCTAACACAGACATTGCTTATGAGGACAGGGAGAGCACAGAGATCCAGAGCTCTGGATACAAGGGAAGATCTGCAAGGGAAGCCTAAATATTGAGAGAGCAGCGGGGGGCCGGCATCAAGGCCCAGTGGGTAGAGCGGCCACCTGCATCGCCGGCATCCTATGTCATCATTGGTTCCACCTTTCATTCAGTTCCCCGCTCATGCACCTGGGAAGGCAGAGGAAGATGGCCCAAGTGCCTGGGCCCCTGCACCCATGTGGAAGACCCTCATGGAATCCCAGGCTCCTGGCTTCAGCCTGGCACAGACCTAGAGTGAACCAACCAAGTTTACCTTCTACACTCTTCTGGAGATACTCTCTGCATATACACTGCACGTGTCCAAGGTTAATTCAAAAAGATTATGGAAAATGGAATTAAAAGATGTTGATGTAAGTGGAAAAAAATTGAAATCTATGCATAGTTTTTCATAAGACACATTTTCTTGCCTCCCAGGGTGCACATTAGCAGGATGCTGGCATTGGAAGTGAAGTCGGGACTTGAATCCAGGCACTCTGATATGGGATGTGGGTGTCCCACCACTAGGACAAAGGCTCAACCCTGCATGAACTTAAAGGGAGACATGTATGAGTCCACACACACTTGGTTGGTTGGCCAGGGGCCAGTGAGGGACTGTTCACTGTATGCCCTTTTGTACTTTTTGGAGTTTGAACTATGTGAATGCATTACCTATTTAACATTAGGAAGCCCGAGCTCCCTTCTGCCTTTCTCAATTCTTGCTGCGGTACTAGTCTGCAGCCTC